GCTGTAGTCCTGGCCCGGGTGCGCTGCGGCCCGGCCGCTGCAGCAGCGAGTCCCGCCCTCCCTCTCTCCGTGCGCCCCGGCCGGCTCCGCGGCAGCAGCGGCGGCAGCCCACAGGCTTCCGACTCGCGAGCCGGCACCCGGCGACTGAGCATGCCCAGCGCGCCCGACCGCGCTAGCTGCCGTCTGCGAGGTCCCCAGAGGCGAGGGTGGGAGCGCGCGAGTGGGCACCGGACTGGGGTCGGGGCGGGGGGCAGGAGGGCGGGCCGAGTGGGTGGCGGAGGCGCCAGAGGAGTCCCCCCGCCCCCCACGAACCCCCAGGTTTACGTATCTTACACAACCCCAGGCGTCCAAGAATTTCTCTCTTGGGGCGGCTTCCCGTGTTTGGGGAGAGTGTGGCTGAATATTGTAATATGTTAGGGTTCCCACTGGAACCCCATAAACAGTGAGTGCAATAAAAAGGGTCTCAAATGAGCCTTTTAGTGTATCCGGACTCCCCAGAGAAATGAAGGGCACAGAGCATCTTGAGCACACAGCACTGAAAGTTTTCGAGATTGTCGCCTCCTCATCTACCCCTAAATTCTGTTGCTACAGATAATTCTTCAGCCCGCTCCTACAAGTCAGTTGCTCGTAAAGATGTTTTTTACACCTTAAAAGTGTGTTAAGAGACTCCTGCAGGACCCCTCACCCCCAGCCCATTTCGATTCGAGGTGTTTTTCACTTGGAGATGGTTTCTCTCTCCATTCTCCGGCTGGGATCTGTTCTCCATCGTTGCAATTCTGGCCCTTTTGCCAACCCCATGAAAACCTACTGGAGAGAAATAGGCCTGTGGAACGCCCACGGAACCCTGGCGGCCAGATTGCGCATGCGCCAGTGACTCGGGGCCGGGTTGAGAGTAAAGTGTATCGGCCGGGGGGCTGCTCCTGTCGGGTTAAGTTTTGGGGAACTGAGCGGAAGTTGGCACATCCTCCCCAGAACCCTTGTGTTAGCCGAGGCAGCGCATTCGCGTTCCTTAGATACATCTTTTGGGGAACCCCAACCCTGCCCCCTTGACTCCCATTGCCCCTCAAAACCAAAATGGTTTTTAAACTACTTACGGCAAAATACTGCCACATCGAACTCTTTTTGTTCTGTGTAAATGTGGTCCTTGGTCACCCTTTTGAGATGTATTCTTTTTAAAAGTTGAAAATAAAATATGAAATCTAGCTGTGTGGGATTTACAATATTACATTTCTGTCACTCAAAGATTTTGTTATGAACCATATTGATTTTGTAAGCAGGTTGATGTGTTATTTTTAAGAGACTATGATCTATTAAGGACAGGGACTAAGTCCTTTTTCACTAGCCTGTGACAAGCCGAGCACACTGCATACACTCAGTGTAAACAATAAATCCGTGCGAGGATTTCCTTTCCTCACACGCATCCTTCCCCAGCAACTTCCCCTTCTGTTCCATGCAGATTGTATCAATGGCACAATGTTTCCTAAGCCGTAATTTTAGTAAACAAATCATTCTGATCTTTACATACCATCTTTCAAAACAAAATCCAATACATCTGAATCATCATTAAACACAAGGTCTTGCATAAAAAGAAATTAAACTGGAAAAAAATCAATAAAAATGATAGAAATTAACTAAAAATGTTAGTTCTGTTTCAGGTATTATCAGAATCAACCTTGGGTTTTGTAGGACATTTCCAAAGACCATTTTTTATATACTATACCAAGAGGCTGAGCTGGGGTTAGAATCCAAGCTGTACTACTTTCTAGCAATATGACCTTGGGCAAATTATCTAATTCCTCTAAGCTTTAGTTTCCACCCCTGTAAAATGGAAAAAAAAAATCATATTTACCTCATAGAGTTGTTGTCAGGATCAAATCAATACAATACCTTGCTATTCAAAGTGTGGTGTGTGGACCAGCAGCATCACCCAGGAGCTTGTTAGAAATGCAGATTCTTAGGCCCTGCCCCAAACCTACTGAATTAGAATTTTCACATTAACAAGATCCCCAAGTGATATGTATGCATGTTCAAGTCCGAAGAGCGCTGATACAATGCATAAAATGTGTAGTGTCTGACAGTGAAGCACTCAATAAACATTACCCAGTTGTAGCAATTTTTAGTTCACAAAAAGGCAGCAATGACCAAATAAATTCTGTTTAACTTTGTATAATTCATATGTATTATAAATAATATATATAACATAACCTCAGCACATAATACTTCTCAAATACAGTAAACCAGAGGAGCAATAGAAGTACAAGAGGGAGATGGATGGAGGGCCTAGAAGAGAAGGAGTCCAGTGGGAGAACAGAGTTCCTTATGTAAATAAGGTGCTAAATGGCAACAGATGAGTCATGAGGAAGACATTAAATTGTCAAAAATGGCAATGGGGTCCTCACCTGAGCTGTCAGCCACAGTCCTTTTCCTTTTAAATTCTCACTACCTAGTGACAGTGAGTTGGGAGATAAGGACTAAAATCTGTCAGTGGCAACTCCTGACTGGTCCTGGACTCCACAGTTTACCTGAAGACCGTTTGCCCACATCTAGTATGGGCTTCAGGACCCCTTCCATGGTCCCTCTGCCCTGCAGGACTGCATTAGCAGCGGGGGCATATCCACTGCTCTACCGTTTATTGAATGTCCTCTATGTCCCAAGAACTCTGCTATATACTTTACTTACATTATCTGCAAATGAGAGAATGTTTCCTCTGCTCTACAGATGAAGAAACTGAAGATCAAAGGCACTAAGCACCTTGATACTGGTCACAGAGCTTGTAAGTGTCTGAGCTTGATTGATTTTCCACTTCTGTGCTGTTTGTGTTCAGCCAAAGTTCCCCATTATAGTGATTACCTTAGCAAGTTGTAATTACTGGTTTAAACATCTTTTCCCTGCTAGACTGAAACGCCCTGAAGCCAGGGGTGGTAACTTACTCATCTTCAAATTCCCAGAACCAACCTTAGTGCTTGACACACAATAAGCACTCAATAAACATTAGTTGTGTGAGTAAATCAATGAATAAATGAATGAGTTACATTGCCCCTTTTTACTCTCTCTCTCTCTCTGATCTCTCTTCCTGGTGGTAAAGAGACCAGCAAGGATTCACCAGTTGTTACCTGTACAAAGTATAAGGACCACATGAAGTGAAGGTCTTCTCCTTTCTGTGCCCTCCCAGGTGGGCAGGTAGTCAGTCCTCTGCTTATCTCTTGTATCACCGTGCGAGTTGCTTCTTGCTTCAGTCCTGCACTGTATAGCATCCTGACCTACAGAAAAGACAACAGATGATAAATATCACATACTAGGTCGCTTTCCATGTTAAGGGTCCCTGGTGGCGGCACAGTGGTTAATAGCTACAGCTGCTAACCAAAAGGTTAGCAGTTCAAATCCACCAGCTGCTCCTTTGAAACCCTATGGGGCATTTCTACTCTGTCCTATAGGATCGCTACGAGTCAGAATCAACTCATGTTAAAAATTACACCATAATCAGAAACGTGAGGACTAGAGAATTTACTAGCTTATGCATCAGACCTAATATACCAAGACTGTGAATTAAAGGAGGTGAGAGCCATGTGAATTCATTGCTTGCTACATCAATGTTGTCACTCAATCCTTACCTTTTTTCTCTTTTTATTCTTTCAACTCATAAATTTACAAAAACACTGAGACCTATCTACTGCCAAGAAATTCAGAAACCCAAATTTCTTATTTCACAGGAGGATTAAAGCTTTGAGTTTGTTGAAGGATTAAAAAATGTAGAAACTTGTAAATGTTGTAGACTGCAGACTTAAATTCAGGCTCTCAATCTAAGTTAATTTTCCTCAACTACAATCAAAGGTACTTTGATTTCACATAAACATTAGGGATGTGATTTTAACTTGCTGATAATTTGAGACCTTTTAAAAAATAAATACCAGAAAACCATTGTGAAGATAGAACGGGAGCAGAGCAAGATTTCCATAATAATTAATACTTTAATAAATGTGCCCAAATCAGTGTGAGTGTAAAGGTCAGGGCCTCAAACCAGTTCTTTCTGGTTTGAACCCCTGCTGAGAATTTGCATTTCTAACAAGTTTCCAGGCAATGGTAATACTGCTGGTTAGGGACCAATTCTGAGAACCACTAGCAGAGCAGTGGTTCTTAAAATTTATTATATATAAGAATCACCTGGGGATTTTGTTAAACTATAGATTCTGATTCAGTATATCTGGGGTGGAAATGAAAATTCTCAGCAGGGATTAGAACTGAAACGAACCGGTTCGAAGCCCTGGTAAAGATTTTGAAATTCCATACAACTGAGCAGAGTCTTGTTAGGATCACAGGATTTTCTTTTCTTCTGGTATGTCCCAGTTCTGATAACAATAACAATGATCACAATACCAACAACAACCAAAACAATGACAATAATGGCCCTTATTCAAAATGTCACTTACCATCTAACAAAAGAAATTTTCTGAGATAATTTATGACACACAGATAGCTTCCAAAGAACTGGGCTAAAAAAGGAATGTAAGAATGTGACCAACTCAGTACATGTTGCAACGGATGGACTAACAGAAGGCTGATGTCCAAACAAAAAGAAAAATACAAGTGCTCTCCCTCCCTCCCCTGTGGGTGAGCGCGCGCGCGCACGTACACACACACACACGCACACACGCGCACACGCGCGCACACACGCGCACACACGCACACACACGCGCGCACACGCACGCACACACACACGCACGCACGCACGCACGCACGCACACACGCACACACACACACACACACACTGAGACACTGAGGATCCAAAGGTTTAATTCACCAAATCAATCACACCTCAGCTAAATCTTTGCAGAGCCTCCTTCACATGAAAATTGCTGCAGCCCTCAGGCCA